GTAAGACATACTAACTATATATATATATATATATATATTTTTTTTTTTCATACATCTCGATTACTCATATCAAGTCTTTACTTCGATATATCTAGGATATAAAAATATGTAAATTATGCCATTTACTATCAATCAATCACTTACATATTTTAAAAGATTTGAAATGAAGATTGAGTGAAGCGATGAGTAATCGAGGTATGAGAAGAAATCAATTTTTTACGAGTACGATACTTATGGTGCGGTCATCCGTGGTTTTTAAAGTGGGACAACCTGGCTTTACATCAAAATTATTTATAGAGAGGTGTACGGCCAAAAATTTAAATTCGGGTAGCTCGTTCACGCGTCATCACGGGATCACAAGTGCATGCCACCGGCGCTGACGGGTTTACACAAGTGTCTCGCATAACATTAATTGATCCTCAACTTTAAGTCAAGATAATAAATTTTATTTCATCATTTTTTATCAACATCACGCAATAATATTAAACCGTTTAACTTTTTGTATGCATAATTCTATTCTCATTTTATTTATAAATTGCAATATTATAATGACAAAGCATCATAATTTTTAGATAATGCCAGAATTGGAGGGGAAGGGAGTGTAGATCAATAATAATAATAGAATATAAAGAAGGAACTTTATCATATATTATGGTATTAAAGTATGTATGTTTGTTGTTGCGCAACTTTTAGATTTGCAATTTTCTTAAATGTGATTCCCTTAATTTTTGGCACTCAGAAAAGGTGAACGATCGTTGTCGGAATGTCAGGCGTCGAAAACACCGCGATCGGCCAAAATATTTAACCTGCGATTAACCGCTCCTCCCGTACACAGAATGATTCAAGAATCAAATACCGAGAGTCAACCCGTGGGGTAGACTGGGTACATATTGTACTCGAATACTACCATCTTGCCTACACGAACTAAGCGAGTTTGTACGTGGCGCAGCGTCGCGTGTATGACGACGACATAATAGTAGATACTACACACACACACACACACACACACACACACACACACACACACACACACACACACACACATATATATATATATATATCACACCCAAGAGGGAAACGGAGAAAGAGAGAGAATGAAAGAGAATGGGAGAGAGGGCAGAAGGGCCGCTCTTAATGGGAATGACAGAGAGGGATAGACATGTAAGAGTGAGAAGAAGGAGACATGAGGCTTGAAAAGAAAGAGAGAGGAATACCCTGTAAAGAGGGAAGGAGGTAAGAGAGAAAGAGGGAGAAAGCGCGAACGAGAGAAGGGAGATACCCCGGGAGAGCGAGGAAGACTGGAAAGAGAGAAACGGCAGAGATGCTGCTGACATTGCTTGAACATATTTGAGTTGCTCCGCTCATGACCAAATATTTATTTATTTGCTCGGTAATACACATTTGTATTAACCGCGTAGCGCGCGATTCGAGGCACGTTCATTCAGATTTCCCTCGCAAATTTCGTCGGCCCGCCACAACGCGCGCGCGACTAATTGGCAACCGCCCGCGGCCACTTATCGCACTTATCGCACTCGTATCGAAGACTTACCTGCCGCCCCAATCACACGTGAGATACTAACGTTTTCGACACGTGAGAATCCTCCTCCTCTGGCGACCATCTTATTATTTGGAGCAATGTATCTTTTATTTACAATCTCTTAAAACTGATCTTTTTTCTCAAAGAAATTTAGTGACAATTCTAGGTACTTCTAGTCACTAATGTTTTATCGTATATTTATATAATAATGTTTCTTAGGTTCTAATATGCTAAAATTAAACTTAAATTGAGACATAGTTATTTAACAAAACGGCTGCAAAAATAAAATCAAGATGAAATAATTTTAGTAAAAAAACTTAGCAATACAAAAGATATTTATTTTTTATTTATGTTATACTCTGTTGAAGAGAAAAGCTAATTTTAACTGTACAACATAATAATAAATGTGATATTTTTCCGTATAATATAATGAAGTAACAGAATTTTAAGTAGCGCCAAATAATGTTAACTGACAGGCTCTCCACATCTTTTTATCTTGTCATCTGTCTGTAGACATGTGTCGCTAAACAAAGAGAGAAAAAAAAACCGCAATTTGTACGAGTAGACAATCGCGTACGCGACAGTGTTGCGTGATAGATTCGAAACGTATATAACGTATATAATACGTATACGTATATTATATACGTAATATACGTATATAATACGTATATTATATTTGCGATTACATATACCAACAAATTTCCCGATGCTCGATATTCCGGCCATTTACTTTTCTCCGCGTCTTTCCCGGGCCCGGAGATCCTCGATATATAACGTTTCGATCGCGTTACCGGCTGCAGTTCGCTGCTATACCATTATTTGGCTGAACCAATCTTTACCTTTGATACGAAGCGGTATAAGTGGAGGGAATTACTGGAACGGCTGTTTGAGTTGGAAATATTTGGAGTGACGCTTCGTTCTGCCGAAGGGTTTATTGAATTTTGTTTGGCGATATTGTAACTTCGACTGCTTGACATACGCCGGAGTATCTCTCAATCACTGCACTACATATGCTACTTCCGCGTTCCTAACTAACAAATCAACTGAGCCTCTCCTTGATTTTGCCGAGAAATCGTAAATCACTGGTCGTGAGGTGAATTTTGAAAGATCAATGCAAATTGTAATATAAAAGAGGGCAAAAATATCTATGAATATATTAGTCTTTCTGTTTTTTACGTTTACGTATTAATAATTTAGCTATTAAATTATCTCTACGCGATGACAAAAGTACTTATAATATAGGGACACGGACATAAAGTAGTATAGTCACAGAAAAATGATATTTCATGGAAATATCTGCAATATTGAACTAAGACAATGTTATATCTGTTGACATTATGATATCGAGATAATTCCAGATGCAAAAGAATAACATAAACCGATATCTATGCATGTACATTATAGGTTTATCTAAAAAATTTTGTCGATTGGCTACCGATTAGCGGATCTTCGGCTACACACTTCGACCCAATCGGAGAAAGCAATCGCTAGTATGTAACGATATTATCGCAAAGTAATGTAGGTCGGACGCAAACAGAACTCCGTTTATCGATTAATTATCAATGAAAACTATACAAGGCGGTAATCTCGCCGATTACCCCCGAGACGCTATAAAACAGTTCGTTTCGCTCGGCGTGTCTGCGCCCCGATGGGCGAACAAGCAATGTGTCATTGACGTTTTTATCTAGAAGGGGTCGGAAACCCCATTATCGTGTCTCGGGAAAATCCGTAAGTACAGCAGCATATCATTGATTCTTTAAACCTTGATTAACGACGCAAATCTGTGCCAAGCGGATCTCACTTTGTTAAAGATAATGGCAACACGTAAGATAGAAGCATTATTTTTCTTATTGCGTATTGCATATTCGATAAGGAAATTTTTCGCCAAGAAAATACGAAGGAGAAAGATCGAAAAATAATAAGGAAATCAGGGCAGAGTTATATCTGTGCACAAATACATGATCAAAACTTAGTTAGGATGCGCAATTATTCGAATTTTAACACTGTAAGCACTGTAAGCACTGCCTGGCCATAGGCATACGAAACGGTTCGAAATTAATCGTACATTTATTCAAGGACTTCCAATAAAATCGGGAACCGCCTACGAAGCTGGAATCGAGGAGGCGCGGCTTGGAACCGCGCGTGTACGTGCCCGTGATAACACGTACATCACGATTACTGGCGAAATCACGTTTCCGGAACGGCGAATAAACGCGTTCGACGATTCGCGAGTGTTTCCCCGGAAATTTTCGCCTCGCTTCCTGGATTCCATACGCTTTCGTTGGTACGTAAATATCGACTCTCTACGTCCGCTCAAGGAAGTTTGCAGTTCGCTACGATTGCGTTTCCATGGCGGAGGAACACACGGGACGTTATTAAAATAGATTAATGCCAAAAACTGCGACGTTCCTCTCTCTGTCTCTGCGTTTTTGTGTCTGCCTATCGTGTTCTTCGCGTTCTTTAACATCTGATAATAATTTTATTTTGCAATTGATCAATTAACGAAAAAAAAAAAAAACGTATAGGTGCATATACACATACATTAGTCAAAAATATGATTTTTTTATTTAAACATTTTACATTGAAAGGGAGTTGTGTTCTTTTTTCATGAATTTCTGCCATAAAAAATGTGACTGTGACGAAAATATAAGCCAATTTTTGCTAGCATTTCCGTGTTTCGCGTTCGTTTATAACTATATCTTCGTTACTTCACCAACTTTTAATAGGATTAATTTATCGCTAAAAACTGCCAATCATTGTTATAATAATTTGACAAAATATTACTGTTTACAATCTCGTCACATATACAAATTATTATTTTTGGCATAAATAATAATATTTCTTAAATAATTTCATATAAATAATAATATCCCATATTTTATTAAATTTTATTTTTTATGTAAAACACTTACGACTAATACTATTTATATATATAAAACATATCATTTTAATATTATCGTATAAAACCATATTTTGAATTAATCACTTAAAATTAAGCACTTCTCAAAATCAATCTTAATTTTTTTTTTATCAGACCGCACCGTTCTAAAATTGCATTAATTACTGTGCATTGTGATCAATTGGTACATATACAAAATACGAAGCGTCATTAAAATATTCGCAAACATCGTGTGTGAGCGTCGGAAAATTGTTGCGCGAGAGAAACCATTTCGACGGTCAAACGTTTGGCAAATGAGATGCTTCCGTCGCGGGGGAGCCGACTTTAATATCGACAAATAAAACTGAATCCTTTCTAAATATGCCCGGGTATCAGCGGTGCCAACCGAGATCCTGAATCACAAAGTCCGACCCTTACTTACGGAGTCCGTTATGGAGCGTGCCAATAATCGGGAAAAATTCTCGATATCGACTTACGCAAGAACGAGCTGAGCAATACTACCGCGATGCTCTCGACTCGGCTGCACAAGTATACACATAAACGTTTGCGATCGAATGCCACTTTTCTTTATCTCGCGTTTGCAGAGAAAAAAATAATCGTCGTGAATATTGACGGACAGAGATCCGATGAACTTTCGCTAAATAAAACAAATTTGAATTGAATTTGTCCTCCTCCTGGACAACGGACAAAAAGAAAAGGATAAATGCGGAGAACGAGGGGATAGATTAATGGTCGGCACTTCTCTAGCTTCGGAATAAACAATGACGTTGAGTTTTGCGGTTTGCAGCTTTAGGACGATGACCGACGACGACGACGACGACGACGACAACGACGACGACGACGACGACGACGATGACGACGATGCAGCTGGCGTCGTCGTCGGCGCAGGTGTATCGGCAGCGGATAAGCAAAGGGGGTGGAATGAGGGGGCTGGCAAACACAAGCGGAAAAGAAACGGAGAGCACGGAAACTGGAGAACGTTAAAAGCCGGCCGCGGGGGTGTCTATTTGCGTAGATCGGAGAGATCGGACAAGTGACGCGGAGGTGCCTTTGTCGAACACCGCCAGCACTGTGGGTGGCTTGCTCTCTCTCGTCTTTATCCTTCATTTTCTATCCCACTCCTTGAATCTTTTTCCTCTTTGTCACGTCTTCTCGATTGTCGTTTCACAAGATCTCATTTGCCATCATCATACCATCATTAATACCGTCGTATTATATTAGGAATAATATATTTGCAATTAATAATTTTAAAGAATATTAGAATATTTAGAAGTAAATATCAGTTAAAACAGAAAAAAATAATAACTATTTTTATTTACCAAATATATATTAATATATATTAATAAATCACTATATCATCATTATCCTTGATATTACTATGTCTCTTTTGTTGTCACGATCGATTAAACGATGATAGAACAAATGTGCTTCCATTTCATCATCAACCCTCTTTTCTTAAGCCTTAAGCCCACCAACTCTCAGTCGAAACATTGTTCTGCGTGATCCTCTTAGCTGTTCAAGCTTCTTGCGCCATTGTTACTACTTTTTCTTTTTATCATTCACACATTTATTGTTCATAGATTTATCGGTATATAACATATTTTTATATATATTTTTATATATAATAATTACATATCTTACACATCTGTAAAATTTCTTAAATCTATTTCATATTCGTGCAACTTAACAAATATTTTTAACGCTATCGGTATCGTTAATTTTCGAAACAATTTTCAATCTTTCATTTTTGAAAATTATCGCGAAAAATTCGTTGATTGTCACGTGAGATAAAGATAGGGTTAAAATAGCTCGGAAAAATTTGCTATCAAGTGCAGAGTGAAAAAAAAAAAAGATTCACACACGCTACGCATGAACGCGTTTACTCTTGCGTTATCGCGCGATAATTTCTCTTTTCCTTTTTAATCGCGAACGACAAGCGCGACGTCTCATTTAAAATGGAACGTCTCGCGCAGTCACGGGAACTTAAGAGATTGGTATTGATTGGTCTGTTTGCGAAGGACATACAAGCCAATACACGGAGCCGAGTCGAGAGTGGAACGCGACGGCGCGGCGCGGCGCGGCGGAACGTAGCGTGTTAATATTGGCACGGAAATTACATAAAACGAAGGAAGCATGCCGGAACTATACGTCTCTCGACAAATCCGCCGATCGATCTCTTCCCGCCGGGAAAGAAGATCCGGGATGTTGCGACTCTTGTTCACACGCACGTACCCATTTTCGATCAAACAACGTCTTCCGTTGAATGGAAGAAGAACAGCAATAATTACCTCGTCGTTGCATCCTCCAGGGATATTTTAAATTACATATCAGAAAATAATAAAAAGACATGAAGGCGATGAACTTCGCGGGAAAAGACAAAAGCTTAATTGAACACGGGAAATCCGATACCGTGGAAATATTTAATAATGATCTATAAGAAATACTCTGATTTATTACAATACACTTCTCAAACTTCTGTGTGTCGATATGGAATGATAATGTGAAAATTTCTCATTGAATTGCGGCATTAAATAATAAAATCGCTGCTAATTAACAATATTTAGTGGGACACGGGAATGAACACGAATAAGTAAAACGCATTTCTGGTTATTCGCATAAATTATGTTTACGTGAAATATGGGGATTGCTTTGAAAGTCAATACTTGGAATTTATGGCGCGGGTCTGCAAATTACATCGCGCAACGTAAATCGAATTACTCTGTAGCCCGGGATACGTATCTGTAGGTTACGCCAAGTTCAAATATATCTATGTCTACCGGGTAAACATTTTAGATCAATGCGCGAAATGGTCTTGACAAAGGGCAACTAATTACGTTAAACAACATGAATATCAGACATTATCGATTCATTGAATAACAAGTTAATAATAGTTTATTATTAACGCGGTCAATGATCTACTATCGGTTATACAAACAGCATTCTCACCGACGCGATTAAACCGCTATTTGTTCAATATTATCGCACACCTAAGTCCGTTAGGATTGTCCGAGTACACGGATAATTAGGATTAGAATATATAAACATAAGCTAGTTAGTAAAAAGTATTTTGCCATACACAAAATGAATTTCGACTATGTTTTCGTTGCATTTGTAATTAAACGCATGAAGAATAGCTTTTAAAAGATATATTATCTACATTAAATGTAGATATAATTATGCATATTAAATAAAAATATTATTAGATAACGTTAACGAATGATGTGGTTGTTTAAACAAACAACATTCGAATAATGTATTCAATTCATATTTTCTCCAAGAAAAATGAAGTTTTTTTTTATCATGCATAATTAATCTAGATTATTACTACTCAGAATCAAATTGTTCGTGAAATCACAAAGAAACGTTTTGGATCCCTTTCCGATGCAAGAATGCGTTTTACGCGACTGCGGATGTGTTTTCGAAGAAATGGAAAGACGAGAAAGCGTGGCGCGACGCGACGAGTCAGCAGAAGTGGGCCCCACTTGAGAGGCCGTGCGCATATCGGACCCTTTCGACGAAAAGCCGAACGCGCCGCTATTTGCCCAGCAATGACGATCAAACACCGGGATCGTGCCTATTTCGTCGTTCCCGGAGGGTACTTCACGTACCTGAGACAAGGTACCCAGGTCCAGGGTACCTTGTATACGCCCGCGCTCTCTTACAACTTCCCGGCCGTTTACCTGAAAATATTACAGCGCGGCGAGAGAGCGGCTTCGACAAAGACATTCGAGAACTTATTGTTCTTTCTTTTATCGACCGCTACTTAATCTATATCCCCCGAATATATGCGCGTCGTAACGTGTGAAACAGCGTTTCTGCGTTCTACGATCGCACGAGAGAGAAATTGCAAAGCTAAAACAAAATTAGAATCTTCAATTAGAAACTTCAATAATATTAATTTATAGTGGAAATATTTAATTGATTTGCCGATGTGCGTACATTATTAATAATAATTATTATTATATTCAAAACGGTGAAATTCCGTTCATCTAGCGGATGCTTTTCATTTGTAGATAACAATGAGTGCATTATTTCTGGTGCAGACATACGGCGGGATGTCTCAGAAGACGGGCGCCAGGTACGAGACGAGTTATCAATGTACAAACAGACGTTATCGTGATGCGAACGCGGTCCTGTATCGTCCGCGTCGTGGAATGAGAACGGAAGAAGTAGAGAAGATAGAAAAATAAAAAGAAAAAGGTGAGAGATTTATTTATTTTATTAGAAATTCAGAGATATACATCTTATTAAATATCCCTCCTGTTTTAAACCTGAAATAAACCTTTTATCAGTAGGTTTTATAGATAGGTAAGTACTTCGCTTCTTATCTCAAAGAGATTATACGTTCCTTCTATTGCGTTATAAGTCGCGCTGTAGCAATGATCTTGTATTGTGGACGTTCACTTTACATCTCTCTTATGTCTCTCTTTCCTATTTAAGAAATAAAATAATTAAATAAACAAGATTTTTGAAAGAATTTCACAATTTCACTAATATTTCTTGGTAGAAAATGCACTTGTCATCAATTCGAAAAAGATAACGCAGTACCGTCAGAAATCGTTATCAGATTGATAAGGTGGCATTACATATTGAGAAAAATAGTACTTGAATTCCCTTGCAACTCTAACTGCACACGCTATATGGCATCACACTCTTTGTACGACTTGAAAAAAAATCTCTTTTATCATTCTCTTTTTCCTGGATTTTAGAATATAAACTTTTAAAATTCTGTAGGATTAAATTCCAAAATTATATAATAAATCTTATTTTTGTATCTAGTAAATTGTTATATAAATTGTTTTTGCCAATTAAACACACACACACACACACACACACACACACACACACACACACACACTATATATATAC